ATGATTTGGTTTCAAGTCCGCTAGACTCCCTAGTCTGTACACCTTTAGCAAGGTGACCCCGGTGATATTTTGAGGCATGAGTTGATTAAGCAGCTGCCTAATCAGTACAATGTCATGCTCAAAACGAGCTTTAGGTTCAGAGCTATCGCTCTCCTTAATTCTATGAAAAATAGCTGATCTGTCGCTATGATCAGCTTTCAATCTTACTACTTTTCGGGGGGGGTAGGACTACCTTTTATATCGCTACCTTTTTTCTTCCTTACAACCTGTACCCACTCGTCAACGGTGCTGGAAGAAGCAACAACAGTTGCGTCAAACCTAGTGTTGAATTCTGGAAGGTTGTCGACGACCTGAGAGGTCAGGTTATGTTTATTTCTTGAAACCGATCGAGCCTTGCGATTGCGGCTTCTAGGTGTTTCCTGTTGGACCCCATCTGGGAGACGGGGAACAGAAGACCCTACTTTTCTTGAGCTTTTGTTTAAGACAGGCCCCTTTGGAGACTGCTTTTCCTTCTTTGACGAGCGTGAGTCATCTACTATCGAACTAACCTTAGTTTGCTTCATGTCGATTTGTGTGTCGACAGATCGAGTGCTGTTTGTCGTGTTCCGACTACGCTTGCCAAAACACTTCTTTGCAGCATCAACCAGTGAGATGGCTTCGGTTAACAGGCTGTTTGCATCCGAACAGCACTGTTGGCAAAGCCATACGCAACCCCTCTTACTGAACCGTTTGAAAGCCGCAGGCGTTAAGTTTGTTTAAACTTTGCGGTACCAGCTTTTGCACTCGTCGCACTGCATGCAGCTTTCAACGGGTTAACGCCAACCCGAATGATGGCAACTGCTTTTTTTACACTGTCCGGCCATTTAAAAGGAGTCCTTTTCAAAAAAAGACGAGATGCGATGATACTCAGAAACAAAAAATAATCAATGACAAGAAAGCGAAGAGCTGTAGATTGTTAGGATCAAAAGTACTAACAGATACGATTGAAAATGAGGTACTCAAGAGTACCAAAGACGAAACTAATCAAGAGAACGGTACAAACGGTACCCTAGTCGAATACTTTAACTGAAATGAATTCAATTAAAGTGAAAACAGTAGTCTTGACACGTAATAAACGATCAAAACAATGAAATTTACTCAGCGAGGAAAAATACCACTGTCCTTTTTAAATAGCGCGCGGATATATGACGGTGAAGCACATTTTCGGCCATTCCGACGGAAGAATTTAACGTATAGTCTTTAACAGTTTTATTTGACCAAAGGCGAGATTTGAACACGACTACAATCATATTAAGACATCATTAAGATACAGTTCCAGGAGTCAGTATTTGTAAGCTTTATAGAATAGGAAAAAAGGTGGATTCCGAAAGTCCTCTGAAAAACCGTCTCCTGAAGGTTATATTCAACACGGTGTAAGAAAGGAATCTGATTCTAAGTAATTCACGTAAACTGATAGGATCCGGAACATATGTCCGTGAGGATCTCAGCCTAGCAGATCGTATTAAGAGACGAGCTGCAGAAGTGTAAATAAATGAACGTCGCCAAAACGGGGAACGAAACCTTGTTCTTAAGGGTTTTCAACTTGTAAAAGTTCGGAGCAAAACGATCCCCAAGCCACTCTGGGTGGCAAGAGAAAGCTCTCCACAGACTTAAAGGTATGCTACACAAATGCTCGCAGCCTTCTAAATAAAATGGCGGAGTTGAAGTCAGTGGTGGATAAAGAAAAACCGGACGTTATCGCTGTCTCGGAAACTTGGTTAACGTCAGAAGTATTAGATAGTGAAATCCAGTTGACTGGTTTCATAACCAGTAGGGCTGATAGATTAAACCGAAGGGGAGGCGGGGTTATTGTGTACACGAAAAGTACCCTAACCATAAGATTAGTTGAGACAGTAGCACATGTTTCAGGGACATGTGAACTGGTGAGATGTAAGTTGAAATGCCAAAGGCAAGATATTGAAGTAGTTGTAGTTTATCGCAGTCCAGAATGTGTAGCAGATGATTTTCTCCTAAGTACACTTAAGTCCTGGTGTAACAACGGTAAAAGCCTTGTAGTAGGCGACTTTAATGCACCATATATAAACTGGATTAACTTAGATGTAGGGTTATCCATATCGTCGTTCGACTCCAAACTGTTAGAAACCTCGATTGGACTAGCATTATTCCAACACATTAGAGATCCCACAAGATACGACTTAAGTAACTCTTCTTCTCTTTTAGATTTAGTCTTCACACACGGTGATGACGTTGGTCAAACGGCTTTTCTCCCACCACTTGGGAGAAGTGACCATGCAGTCATCTTATTCAAATTCATGGCTGAGATTGCTTGTCAAACAATTGCGCCGGCCCGTCCTAACATATGGAAGACAGATATGCAGGCAATTAACTCCGCAGCATCGGCTGAGAACTGGGAAATTGACTCAAAGGCATCAGTACAAGAGGCATGGACTCTATTCAGGCGGTTATACAATCGGGTAACTCAACCATACATACCCAGGACTGTCCCAAAAAAAGAAGCGCGGACATCCCTGGATAGGGCGGGATATTCGACGCTTACTAAGACAAAAGAAGAAATGCTGAGATGTTGCCATCCGCCTTGGCACAGCAGGTACGATGGAACGCTATAGATTGATAAGAAACGAGTGTATAACTAAAATTCGGGAAGCGCAAAGAAAATATGAAATGCAGCTGGCACAATCTGCACTCAAGCAGCCCAAGAGGATATTCTCGTACATAAACTACAGAACAGGGATTCATCATTGGATTCCCAACCTAATTAAAGTAGGAAGTGAATCTGAAATGATAGAGGAAGATCAGGAAAAAGCTGAGGTTATGGCTGACTATTTTGGGGCAGTTTTCACTCAGGATCTCCTTTAGAGAAAGAACCAGACCCAATTACAGAGTCAACAAACCAGCTTCTCACCGTGGACTTCGACCAAAACGATGTACTTAAGGCTCTTAACACCCTAAACATGGAGAAGTCAACAGGACCAGATGAATTACACCCTAAAATCTTGAGACATATTGCCCAATATATCGCAGCCCCACTGACTGTGATATTAAAAATGTCACCTGACCAAGGTGTGTTACCTATGGACTGGAAGGACGCAATCGTCACTCCCATACATAAAACAGGTCTACGACAAGTTCCATCAAACTACAGACCCGTAAGCCTCACCAGTGTTGTAATTAAAATACTGGAAAGAATAAACAAACGGACCATAACAGCATTTATGGAAACCAATAACTTGCTGAACATGGCACAACGTGGTTTTAGAAAGGGGCTATCCTGTACAACGAACCTCCTTATAGCAAGGGAGTTCTGGATTAATGCGCTAGACAACGGAAACTCAGTGGATGTTGTCTACATAAATTTCAGTAAGGCTTTTGACAAAGTGCCAACTAATAGACTGCTTTTGAAGTTTGAAAACCTTGGTATTGCCGGACCTCTTTTAAAACGGATTAAAGATTTCCTAGCAGTTCGTAGACAAAAAGTAAGAATAAATTCCAAGTGCTCCATCTGGAGACCAGTACTTAGTGGAGTACCCCAAGGTTCCGTCCTAGGTCCTTTACTTTTTATAATGTACGTTAATGATCTTACAAGTATAGTACAGTCTCCAATGTTATTATACGCTGACGATGTAAAAGTTTGGCGAGTAATAACTGGAGACAAAGACTCATATGCTCTTCAGGCAGACTTAAATAATATGATAAACTGGTCTAAAGAGTGGCTAATGCCTACCAACTCGGAAAAATGTGTCTACATGCACTTGGGGGATACAAAGGTTAATAAGTACAACATAGGGGATGTGTCATTACCCGTAGTCCGGTCTCATAAGGGCCTAGGGGTGACAGTAAGCAATGATCTTAAGACGACGGCCCATTGCCGGGAGGTCGCAGTTAAGGGGTTTCGAACCCTCTGGGCTTTAAAAAAGACATTCACTAAGTTAGATACTACCATGTTCACCACATTATACACATCCTTAGTGAGAACTAAGTTAGAGAACTGCGTTCAGGCTGCAAGCCCCTGCTTAAAAGGTGACTCGGACATACTAGAAAAAGTACAGAGGGAAGCTACGCGTGCAATTCCGGAACTCCGGGGTTTATCGTACAAAGAGCGGCTTGAAAAACTGGACCTCTTTACTGTCTTATCGCAGACTAAGAGGAGATCTAATTTTGATGTACAGAATACTGAGAAATGATTTCGGACCTAACTTATTCTCTCTCTTTCTTCCCACTAGATCGGGACACCTCAGAGGACAAAGCAGGCGAATAGAAAAGCCAAGAACGAACAAAATGCCCGTGGCACACAGATTTTCACACCGAGTCATCAATACTTGGACCCTGGTACCCGAAGCAGTGGTGTTCGCACCTTCAATTGACTCTTTCAAGAGAAGACTGGACACTCACAGAAGCATACTAGAAAAGGAATAACATAGGCCGTAGGCCTTCTGTCCTTACTACACAAATCTGAATCTGAATTTAGAGTACAGAAACAGTATTCCCTCCTTCATTCCAAAAAGATAAGGACACCCTGGGACGTAAATAACGGCGAGCAGCGAAATCAGTTCGGGGACCCAAGTTTAAGCCTTATGAAGAGCGCGTCCAGTCACCGGACCTTTTATTAATTAACGTACGGATGTCTTAGAGGTAACCTTCTAGTGACTTAGAGTGTCTCAAACACTTCTGTGCATCTACTTAAACACCTACTTAGGCTTATAACCAACACTAACCTTAGGAGTAACACCTAGAGACTGGAGACACAACACTGCAGAGCGAACTGTATACACGCCTTCTAATCCTTAAGAGTAGTCAAATGCTTGCATTCGCTGCCAGCTGAGTTGGTCCAAGAGACTTCCCAGAAGTCCTTCAAGAGAAAACCTGACATGTTCTAAAGGACTAAGGAAATTATCTTGCTAAAAACTAATTTCTTCTCTTTTATTGCTAAATATACTTAGGTTATTATCTGGAGGTACCGGTGATCCACTGTTACTGGATATGGAAGCCCGTTAAGTGAAAGCGTCTTCTATTCCAACCAGAGCCGTTTGATGTTCGACATCCTCAAGGTCGTGCGGTCAATATTTCTGAAGGAATGTTCACATGGATATTGCCTTCGAATTGGCTTGTGAAGCACTCAAATGTAACGAAGTTCCAGTAGGATGTGCTTTTGTTTATAATGGAGAAGTAATTGCATCTGGTCGCAACGAAGTAACTCATTAGTAGGAGTTTTGTGATTTCTAGGTGAATGCAACTAGAGATGCTACTCAACATGCCGAGATGGTTACTATTAGACGACTGGAACAATGGTGTCGAAATAACGAAAAGGAGCTTGACAAGGTTTTGACCGAATGCGACCTTTTTGTTACAGTGGAACCCTGCATTATGTGTACGGCTGCTATACGGTTTTGTCTTCCAGCTCATCTGAGAAGGTAAGTTTATTTCTTACTTTGACTTTGTCACTAGTATTACATACGGTGCTCGTAATGAACGGTTTGGTGGATGTGGTTCAGTCCTAAATGTACACAATTCTCCTAGTCCAGTCGCTCCGCTAAACTGCATATCCGGTGTTGAAGCGGAGGCAGCTGTTAAACTGCTAAAGAAGTTCTATGAACAAGAAAACGAAAATGCTCCCGAAGAACTTCGAAAACGCAAGCGTGTGACGTAGTTGTGTTGAGTAATTGAGCGTTTTTATGTTGTCATCGACTTTTTGTTGTAAATAAATGTAAGTAGTCGTTGAAGTTGCTTTCTTTTTATATGATAGTGAAAGTCTCATTGATTGTCATTTGTTCACCCCTCAATATACTCTATATGTGTCAAATTTTATCGTAATAAACACTACATATTTACTTGCCGATCTACCTTGAAGATCGAACCTCTTAAGTAGAAAATATTTTAAAACTTTGATCGTCTACTCTTCTTATCATTCCGTTTATGAAGTGCATGTTCACTATATGGTAGAAAGCCATACTCGTGTCATGCCTTTGTGTAGTTGCCCCAGGTACCAACGACAACCATCTAGCGCTGCTATGAAGATGGTCGCTTTTCCCGATGATGAATTGCTTCGGGAGCTAGTTTGCATTACACTATCCTACTTCACATTAAATGACTTAAAATGTGTAGGATACTAAGAGATGTCCTTATATCTGGTGTTTCCTCTTCAGTCTAGGTAACAATAACTTATATGACGTAACAGTGAAGTTCAAAAGCCAAGAATAATCGATATATTCATGAAGCACATACTTTCCCTTTGAGCAGTCAGCACTTAGAAGCTGTTATTGGAAGTGCTACACATGTCTCTCCTTGCAGGAGAATATGCATTTACTCCATGTCAATAGGCAGGTTCAGTTCTGCAAACAGGATGTTACCATTGAAGCTTTAGTACCTAAGTGGCTTAGTGATGACTGGGAACCTTTGTCTAGTCACAGGTTTGGTAGGGGATGTCTGTAGACTTGTCGCACATTCCCAAGTCTATTCAGGTTCAAAAGTTCACCAACAGACATACGCCATTTACTTAAAAGGTCCAAAAATCTTCATTAGAGGGTATGGGACTCAGATAATATTTCGCAGGCTTCTATGACGTGATTTTACGGCCTTACGTTTCCCGCTTAACCCCCATCTCATACTGAGCGTAACAGAGTGAATTGGTGTATATCTTCCTCATTTCCTGTAGGCATATGAATGACCCATCAGTGTCATGACTACTGTATTTGACGTATCCTGAGTATGTTGGTCGATTAATTCACTGTTTATCCCTAAAATAAATATTTGAACATACTCTTTTTTAACCTATTGTGTGACAAACAAATCTCAGAAACACTTGGATCTTTACTGTTAATAAAATATCCCCATTCATTGTATGTTGTTTACAGTAGAAACAGATTTATCTTATTCCATGAGTTACTTTGTGACAAATTTATTTGGTAAAGTTGATAAATATGAGTTTATATAGTGTAATGAGAAGACGAAAATTATCAGGACTATGTGATATATTAGCGTGATACATTTCGAACAATCTGATCACGCATATACTTGTTAAGAACATTCATATATAAAAATGAGAGGTCAACTAATAAAGGAATTAATATAAAAAACAATGTGGGACTCGTCACGCTGGATCACACGTAATTGACACTGTATTCCACTAAAATTCTAAGAGTATTTTTGCAGTCCATTTGTAGCATTACCATTTTCTTGACAAGCATGCTATACTACTGTAAATGATTTGTGGAATTTTCAGTTTAAATCACGATTTGACCTCATCTAGATCAACATTGAAAGTTCGGAAGGACTGGACGACCGTTTCACCTCAGTATGGGACTCCCTCGCGGCGGGAACCCACGATCCTGGACGCGGGAATCAAACTTGGGGTCTCCGGCCTCGCGCACAAACACCTAATCTTCAGACCACCAGGTTGGTATCCAACGGTGTTAATATCTTCAATCTAGTGCTTCCAGGTCTGCGATAGGGGTCTAGCTGGGAACTGTTTGTGATTTAAACTGAAAATAAGCTTTGTATGGATATCATCAGGGTTCCTCAAATTAATCGTTTGACCACCTATTTAGGGATTCATGTATTAATTTAGTTAGCAACTGACATAGTTCTGATTGATGAGAATGCTGACGAAATTTCAGGTGTTCTGAACTCCCTCGATAACGAAATATTATTGTTTGGATTGTGTTTCTCTTTCCTTGAATCCGAAACCTTATTTCAAGGCTATTCTACGTCAGCGTATATTTATTCATAGGGATCGAAGTGGCTGACCACTTCACTTGTCCTGATGAGTCTGTCCCTGACGAAACCATATCGTGGATACAAAAAGAGAATTTGGTTTTCGTCAATCTGCTGGCTAATATGATAGTGGACTTAAAGCCCACTAGGAGTTATGAGACCAATAAACTGCACCATGAATTCATTGACTGTTGATCTTATCCATGCAGGAGTAGACTACATGTTTGAGATTAGTATAATAAGTGTGATCAGTGGTTGGAGACCTTGCGTGGGATAGTTCAAGGTTGGTCTCAGTGGAATAAATGCATTTATCTGTCCCTAAATCGTGAGGTCAAATGCTTTTTTACCAAACGAGTGGATCTTGTCACTCCAAACTTTATTCTTTGTGTTTTCTCTAACGAGATAGATACTAAGCAAATTTAAACGGTCCTTTCTGAATTTATTGTCTATAATTTTGTATAATTATCAACTACTCAAACTATTGCATTTTTTTTCCTCCTACCTTCAAACTTCCCCGTGATGCATAAGCTGATGTACCCTTCTTTAGCTACTATTACTTCATTACGGACCTATTACTCAGCACTCTTCCATTCATGGCATGGTTACCCCTGTATTGTGATTCCTTAAATATCAGAGGGGGGATTGTAGTAGTTTTAACCGCCGAATTGAGTCGATCTAAGCTAGACCACCATTGATTATAGGAGTAGGTTGAAAGAAAGCTAGGGGCGACTAGACCAAAACATGGCACAAATCCGTGAAGTCACTGACAAGTGAACTGAGCCATGTTGGTAGGTGTAGAATATCTGGTTGGGGACCGTGAGATGATAGCAACCGATGGTTAGAGACGTTGAATGACATGGCTCAAAATAGTTTGCAATGGCGCAGGTGCATACACTCTTTGTGTTCTCTCAAATGCTATTGTTCAGAATTCTTCATGTCCTTTATTTTCTTTCTAAATTTATTTCACTGTATTATACTCCTTGAATAACATCTTCAAACCCTAATCTTTCCGATTACTGCTTATACTCTTACTACCTCTACCACTACGGGATTAGAGTCGACAATTGTATATGTGTGCTAATGTGGTGTGGCAACTCGAACTAATGTACGTACGTACAAAGTCCTACGTTGTTATTGACTGACTAACTGAGACCACCATTGATAACCTGGAAGCACTGGATGGTCGTTTCGCCATAGTACAGGACTCCTCAGCAGTATGCATCCAAGACCCACACGCGGGACTTGAACCAAAGACCTTCAGTGAAGAGCTGTGACCAGTGGAGTCCGATCTTTGTCGAGTATGAGACAGTTATCTATATCAGACTATGGATGAAGAGTTGCACAAGATCATAGATCGATTGAAGTTAGACATTAACACTTGGATTCCGGCTCAGTAGTCTAGAGTTTAAGCGTTCGCGTACGAGACCGAAAGTTCTTGGCTCAAACCCCGCATGCGGGTCGTAGATGCATACTGCTGAGGTGTCCTGTACTATGACGAAACGACCATCCATTGCTTTCAGGTTATCAGTGGTAGTCTAGCTTAATTCGACTCATGAATTCAACTGTTGGAAGTTCTTGAATATGTTGATTTGTAGTCAGGTGTTTACTCTGTATTATTGTGATTCATAAATTCGAACTGTATAATCAAGTCTCTTTTCTGAGTTGCTCTCTTTCTGGTTATCAGGCGAGCGAGTGTGGGAAACTGCGTTCTGCACCAATAGTCATTTAGTGTTGGTTGGGCCACTTATTACGTATGCCTGAACACCGATTACCACGACGTGCAATGCTAACCGGGGTAGGGGATGGTTGGAAGAAAGTTAGGGGCGGCCAAACCAAAACGTGGCATCAGTGCTTGAAGTCACTAACTTCTAGTCTGAGCCATGTTGGTAGATGCAGACTACTTGGTTGGGGTCCGCGTGACTTTCGTAACCAATGGTTGGAGACTCTTGGTGACATGGCTCAGAATCGATCACAATGGCGTCGGTGCATACTCTCTATCTTCCCTTAAACTAAGAGATTAAAATCACTTCATTCTTTCTGTCTACGAACTAATTCTTTCTTCCTATACTATATCCTTATTGCAACCTTTGACCTAACCACTCCTATGAATCCGCTGTTCATCTTGCTGTGCTAATGAGGTATGGCAACCTGGACCGATGCACATATGTGCCTGGTCCTACGTTGTAGCTGACTGACTGAGTGTTATTCTCGGCTGTTATCTCACTATTATCGTGTCATTGGTTATCCAAAGGTCTATGGTACTAGATCTACAGTCTAGATGAATCAATCAATACTCAGAGTAGATCGATACAACTGCTCTCCTTTCTTACGGTCAAATCACACGGATTTCCAAAATAACTAACGTGATATCTGTTTATGTTTACCGTTATATCAATGTTGAGTCTTTTTTCCTACTATCGGCAATATTATAATTCCGGTTAGTTTGTTTATTCATTTATGTTAATGTGATGTAGCGATTCAAACCAATGTACACTTGTCTCATGTCTTATTTCAATGGTGACTTACTGACTTTAAATAACAAGTGTTTAAATCAGCATTTCCAAAATAGTCACTTGATAATACTCAAGTGAATAGTATTCTTATATTCCTTTCTGTCAGCTCCCCAACCCTTCCTTGCAAGTAACTGTTGGCTGGATTTCATGAAAGAATCTGAAGGACTTGCAGTTTACTATTGTAAGAAGATTGCTTGCTTCTTACCTACCTTCGCACTGTAACTCCATGGATTCCAGCCGATGAACTTACGTAATTTGGTTTTTCATAAAACGAATTACCAAGTATCTGTTTATCTTCTTACTAGACAGTTTGTATAAAATGTAACGGATAAAAAACCTAGAAGCTATATATTACGTGTTGTACTTGATCAAGCAGCCTAATCGTAGTCGACTCTACATTATCAGTAGTTTTTAATAAATTAGAACACTAGAATCTCAGTAGGAAAAACATTTCATTTTATCTTCCAATACTGCTACCGTC